CTGATATAATATATTGGTTTCTGCTGCTTGGCTTCTTCTCTTACCAGAATCGAACTAATGGCTTCATCTGAAATTCCCAGATATAGATAGAGGATTTCTCCATCTTTGGCTTTAGTCAGTAGAGGTGGTGAGCTAAGGTAAGACTTCAGCTCGTCGAATGTGGCTTGGCATTCCTGAGTCCACTCAAACTTCTTCTGTTTACCCGATTCATCCTTCTGGGCAGCTGACCTCATAATCTTGAAAAATGGTAGGCACTTATCTGCTGACTTCGATATGAACCGATGAAGAGCTGCTACCCTTCCGGTCAACCTCTGTATGTCCTTCATTGACTTCGGCGGTTCCATCTCGGCAATTGCTCTGATCTTTTCTGGGTTGACCTCAATCCCTCTCCGGGAAACCATAAAACCTAAGAATTTTCCAGATTCCACACCAAAGATGCATTCGGCTGGGTTTAACCTCATTCTATTCTGTCTAAGATTGTTGAATGTCTCCTCAAGATCGGTTAAGTGATCGTCAGCTTTCAAACTCTTCACCACTATATCATCAACATAAACTTCCAGATTCCGTCCTATTTGAGCTCGGAATACGATGGTAACCATCTTCTGGTAAGTGGCGCCTGCATTCTTCAAGCCGAAGGGCATCATTACATAGCAATAGATCTCATCACTAGCATAGAACGAGGTTTTTTCTTCATCCTCAAGAGCCATTGGGACCTGGTGGTAGCCTGAGTATGCATCCAAGAGACTTAATCTCTTATTCCCCAAAGTTGCCTTAACCAGCTTATCAATGTTTGGCATTGGATAACAATCCTTTGGACATGCATCGTTGGGGTTAGTGTAATCAATGCACATCTGCCATTTACCGTTTGCTTTTTTCACCAACATCGGATTGGCGACCCACTCGCAGTAATCGACCCTTCTAACAAAACCAGCTTGTAGGAGTTTCTCAACTTCTTCTTTAATGACCTGTAACCTCTCCCCCCCGAAGAGGCGTCGCTTCTGGGCTACTGGTTTCTTGAGGGGATTGGTGCTGAGTTTATGTTGAAAAACTGAAGTGGCAATTCCCGGCATGTCTGCTGAAGTCCATGCAAAAACATCTTTATTGGCCCGAAGAAAAGCTATTAGCTCTGCTCTTTCCTCCGGGTTCAATTTAGTCCCAATTTGCGTTTTCCGGCGCGGATCTCTGTCATCAATCTGCACCTCTTCTACATCTTCGACTGGAGCAGCTCTGGTTTCATCTTCTGGTCGGTTATCTACTATCTCAACACCCATAACTTGCCGATCATCAAGAATCTGTTTGGGATCAACCTCGGGTGTTTGAGTCTTGCCCTTTTGAGGTTGTGTTACTGAGGTGATATAGCAATGTCGGGCCACCTCCTGGTTGCCTCGTAGCGTTGCTATTCCCGTAGGAGTTGGGAACTTCATGCACAGATGATATTGGGAAACCACAGCTCATATTTCAGTCAGTGTGGGTCGACCAATGACGACATTGAATGAGGACGCCATCTTGACTACCAAAAACCTGACTGAAGGAGTCACATAACTTCGGCCACTGCCAAATGCAACATTCATAGTGAGGACTCCTTCAACTGGAACTGGTTGGTTGTTAAACCCGTAAATGGGACCATTATACCGCTGCAACAGAGCGGGATCTAACCCAAGACTCTCAAAACAATGGAAGTACATGATGTCTGGTGCACTTCCTGTGTCAACAAGGACACGCTGCACTTCACAATTGTTGATCGTGATAGAAGTAACTAGAGGATCATTGTGAGGTGTGACAACTGTTTCGAGATTAGCAGATGTGAAAGTGATGGGTTGATTCTTCCACTCAGCATCGTCAAATTTTCGCTTCTGAGCTCAGTTCTGATGCTTAACCTCTCTGACATACAGCTTTCGCTGCTTAGAGCTCAGTCCACCGGCTTCCAGACCTCCCGTAATCATGTGTATTACTCTAGCTGGTGGTGGGAGTGGGGGTGGGGCTTGCTGATATCCCACACCTTGTCTGTTTGGGGGATTGCGGATTGCTTGATGCTGTGACCCTTGTTCTCTGACAAACCTTGGCTGTTCCACTCTCTGGATGTACTCATTCAACATTCCTTTCTGTGCCAGACTTTCCAGTTCGGACCTCAGACTATTACATTGCTATGTTGTATGACCGTGATCCTGATGAAAATCACAATACCTAGTATGGTCTCTGGTAGCAGCAGCAGTTCTCATTGGACCCGGACGTCTTAAGTCCATCTTATTCTTAATCTGCATAAAGATTTGTGACCTTGGTAAATTAAAAGGAGTCCAATTAACTGGAGGTTTACCTGCAGGTTGTGGCGGAGGTGCTGAGTTCGGCCTTCCGAATCTCGGGGTCGACATCGGACCTCGGTTCTGTGTTGTCTTCATCCGTTTCCTGTTCGGATTCTCATCTCTCCAGTCCGGTTGTTGGCTCTTAGTAGGAGTTAGGTTCTGCGACAGAGCATATTTCTTAGTAGTTATGAATTTCAACGATTTATCATTTACCTCGCTGAAGGTGTTGGCAGGATGTTTGAGCAGACTATCTCGGAACCTCTCATTGCCAAGACCTGAGATCACCGCTGTAATTCCCACAGCTTGGTCGAAAGAATTAACCTCCAGCACTGCATCATTGAATCTGCTCATAAAATTCTTCAAAGACTCTCCGTCCCTCTGTTTGACTCGCATCAGCTCAGAAGTGGTTTTCCTGATCAACCTTCTACTGGAAAACTTTGTGGCAAAAGCAGATGCTAGTTCTGTGTAAGAGTTGATTGACCTCGGAGGCAGACTATAGTACCAAGTTCGAGCATTTCCCCGGAGGGTAGAGGGAAAGATTTTGCACATCAATGCGTCAGTGTTCTGGGCTTGCATGCAGGAGTAGAAAGCATGTAGATGGTCATCAGGGTCCTTCGTCCCATCATAAGTTTCAAGCTGTGGTATTCTGAAGCCAGCAAGATAAGGTTCGAGTACAATATTGGTGTTGAGAGGGTGGGGTACGGAGTCAACAGCAGGGTGTGGAGGTGGGGCACCTCGCTGTTCAACTACTAGCCGTTCCAAGCTATCTAGACGTCGAGTGACATCGTCATGGCAGGGTTGCTGGGCTGGGGCGATGTGAGATTGGCCCTGAGATTCACTAACAGTGGGAGCATGTTGAACTGGTTCAGGATTTTGTGGTGGGGCTGGGGGTTGTGGTGGGGCTGGATTAAGTAGATTGATAAGTGGATCACCAGGATTATTCCGGGTTAACAGCTGAGCCAGCACTTGTTGAAAGACACCAAACTGCTGTTGCATGGCGGCAAGCTGAGTTGCAACTATGTCTTGGTTAGCGGTAGAGGCTGAGTTGTGAGCCGGATTATGTGGCTGGTTTTCATCCCCTCCCTCTGTATGGTCAGCATGAGGGAATATACTCGGGATTGGGGGTGGGGGATGAGGTGGAAGGTTGCTGGGGATCTGACCTCGTCCAAGAGGCTGAGACGAGTTTCCCCCTCGGGCTGACCTAGTTCTAACCATGATAAGAGCAACAAGGGAGCCTTTAGTTCAGGTTCCCACAAACGGCGCCAAAATGTAACTGCACCAAACCGGAAGTCCTTCTTCAGTCCGTATCTGCACTCTAGATTAACCTGCAAAGCCCCAAGGTGGATCCCCGGGGTAGACACTTCGATGCTTAAGTCAGCAATAATCGGGGCTACCTTTAAAGCGTAGACACAAGGAGCTTAGGGTTAGTTGCAATTACCTTTTGGCGTGGCCCTTAAGAGGTATTTATATGTTCTGATGTAGAATCCACGTGGCATGTCAATCAAGATGCCAAGCAAGATATCCGGGATCCGATGTGTATCTCCAGGCAGTTATTTCGGGACCAGGAGATTGAGCTAAGCAAAATATCCGGGATGTGATATGTATCTCTAAGCAGTTATTTCGGGACCGGGAGATTGAGATATATCTAGATACAAGGATGTCCATCGTAACTGCCGTGTAGCTATTCTAACGGGAAGCTCTGGACTTACCCTTACACCTCGGTGTGCTTCTGTATGAATTGAGACAATGTTGGTTAAATGATAGTAGTCATGAAATAATTCAAATGTTTGTCTAATGACCATAGGAGGATAATTCTAGCTACAATCCTAATCTGAATATTTGATTCCATAGCGGAAATCTACGACAGTATGATAAAAATTTGCAACAAACAAACTACTGTTCTAAGCCAACAATTACTAAGTCAAATCTGGAGAAAAATTAACCATTTGCAATTGAACTTGGGCTTGGTTGACAAGATCGTCACGTGGCAACTGCCGGCAACACCATGTATACATGCTTTCTACTACTTCAAAACTTAATTTACAATCCTTTGATTTACTCTAATTATCCTCAAAATTATGCACTTAAATCATCAATTAAATAATTTAATCAATAAATGAAATTTGCCAACATAAATGACATGTGGCAACTACCTATTGCACAAAATTCCAAAGGCTGTTAAGTAAAAATGAACCTGGTTGTCACAAGTGACATGGCAAAATAACAATCACTCAATATAACAAACAGGATATGTGACAGCATCTTATTGATTTGCAAAATTGGGCGCAAACAGTTTCATTGTTCTGCATTTCTGGAGGAGTTGTAGCTATTATGACGTGCTTAATTTGGACATAATTTTCATCAAGTGTGTTGTGAAATGGATTTATTTTCCATGTTCTTCTTGATTTTTACATTGTCTAATTAAATTATTTCGATTGTATCCAAGCACTTGGAGCTAGCTACTGGAACAGTGGAGCAATGTTCCTTTTCACAAGTCGTCCGAAATATGTTCTGAGGCATGTTTGACGCATGAATGTTGCTACTGTTTTTAGTAGTACTGGATGCCTGTGGCAAAAGTCCATTTTGAGCCCCTCATCTTGTTAAGTTTGAAGGTTTTAATCCCTCATCTTATACTATAATATTTTTAACCCCTCATCTTATTAGATTTATAAGTTTTAGCCTATCACCTTATATTATGACACTTTTAGCCACTCACCTATTAAAATTAAAGAAAATAACCCTCACTTTATAATATTTTGTTAATTGATTGTTAACTCTATTAGCTGACTATTAGTTGACTGTTAACTGTTAAAAACCCTTTTTCAGTTAACAGAATTAATAAAATTAACTTTATAATATTTTATTAATTTTGTTAGTTGACTATTAGTTGACTATTAGTTGATAAAGATCTATTTTCAGCTAACAGAGTGAACAGTCAGCATAAAGTGAAGCTATTTTCTTTCATTTTAAAAGGTGAGGGGGTTAAAACCTATAAATCTAATAAGGTGAGGGATTAAAAGTAACATAGTATAAGGAAAGGAGTTAAAACCTTCAAACTTGATAAGGTGAAAGGTTAAAAGTTGGTTTTTGACGCTACCTGTTGGGTTTCCTCCTTTCCCTCAGGATTCATAGTGATGTTACTATGCACACCAACTGTTCGTGGATCAATTTCAAAAGTGTAGTAGTGGATTTGGGGTGCGTTTAAGATTGCGATCAAGAGTTTTTTCGTGTAGTCATACAACACTTTTAAATATGTGTGTTTTGTATTTTTTTTCAAACTACACGTTTTTTTAAAAAGTTACAGAAAACCATAATAGATCTACAATAATTTTATGTATAAAGCTAAAAGTCTTATTTTGGAGTTTTCTGATTGTGGCTTTTACAGAAAATACTTAATATTTTAATATAATTATAAAATTACCCATTAAAACTCAATTTCATATAATTTAATTACATCATAATTTATAATATTTTAATAATTAAAAAAATTTTAAAAACTTAAATTATTAAAAAATAATAAATATTATATATTTTAATAATTATATATCTTACAATATTTTTTAAATTTTAATTAATAATTAATAAAATTTATCATATTTTATCTATAATACTTTTCAAAAATAAATAATCAAATATCAAAATAACTTTCAACTACAGTTACAATATAATATAACCACAATTAAGCACAACCATAGATACAGTCCCAGCACTTCACAGCAATTTCAAATGTACTCTCGATCTTTTGCTGTAGAAGATATTATACTTGGACTAGAATTCTTAGATAAGTTTCTTGTAATGGATAGCTAAATAAATTTTCAAATTTGTTTTTTTAGTTAGATAAACTCCTCATATTTGTGTTTTTAATTATTTCTTTAATTATCCTTTTTTAATGGGATTTAATTATCTTTTTAGTTAATATAAGTTTAATAAATATTTTCATTTTCCTATTTGTAGAGGACTTTAAATATTTCTCATTGCACATTTATTTTAAATAATAATAATAACTAAATTAAATAGTTTCATAATAAATAAAATGATCCAGCAATGTTAGTTTAAAAATTAAGATTAATCCCAACGATCTCAATGGCTGGTAAAACAATATTTTTCAACAGTTTAATCATTGTCATAAAAATATTGCAAGCACTATTAATCTTGTCAAATGCTACTTTATGAAACAACTTAAATTGATAGAAAATATTCCTTTTATAACTATTAAAATCATTGTAAAATACATTTTTCACAAGAAGTTTTGTAGTTGTAAACATTCATTTTAATACTCATTAAAGTTGTTTTTTATTACTCTTAGCAAAATATTAGTTTTAAAAATAATTAAAGATTATCACATGATACAAAATTTTGCAAAAATTTTTAGTGTTAAATAATATATTTAGTAACAACAAATAATAGCATTAAAGGGATATATAATTAACCACTCTACTAAAATTTTCGTTTTATAAAACTTTTAGCAATGATTATCATTATTTCAAAATATTAAATTTAGAAATGATTAAAAATTGTTACAAGATACAACTTTCAATAACAATTTATAATGTTAACTATACATAATTTAAAAATCAACACCACTTGAATTTCTAAAAAATACCCAATTACAACACCTTTAAGGCCCATTCTTTCCTATTCTATATATTTCCGGCCTATCAAATCTTAAAACTCAAATTTCAATAGATTTAGAGCTGGATTTTAATCCAATCTAAATCAAAATTTAAAACCCGAATTCCAATAGATTTAGGCTGTGACCTTAATTTTAAAATCAACATAGCTTAAATCCCCAAAAAAAATGCCCAACTACAACACCCCCTAAAGGTTAATCTATCTTAAAACCCACATTCCAATAGATTTAGTCACTGGGCCTTAATCCAATCCAAATCAAACCTTAAAACCCAAATTGCCATAGATTCAAGCCTTGGACTTCAATTCAATCAAGATCAATATTTTACCTATTAAATTTTATTGCCACCAAGGTTCAAAATTCCTTAAGACCCTACAAAGGGATTGAAGCCATACTAAAATTTTAATTTTAATCCTATCCAATTATTTGTAGGTTCATTGAAAATCAATTTCTTTCTTAAATTTACTTTTAAATTATGATATTATTAAAATCTTCTCAATACAATCGATTGATTATCCTTTCCTACCAATATCTGTTAAATTCATTATTATCTACTGTTTTAGTAGATGCGTAATTCAATTGTCATAAAGGCTTAATGTCACTAAAAATCTCTTAACTTTGTAAATGAGTCATTATCATCTTTTACTTTAAGTCAAGTCATAAATATCCTCGAAACTTTGGAAGAAGCCAGAAGGGCTTAGCACCATCCCTCCATTGACGGACTATCATAACGCCCTACGTCAACCGTTAATATACTCTAAATTTTAATGGTAAAATGACACAGCTTGTCCCTTAACATTCAATTCTTATGCACTTTGATCCTCAAACTTTAGATTTATTCAATTTTTTCCCTAATTTTAACTATTTTATTTCAATACAGTTCCCAAACTTTTGAAAGAGATGCATTTATAAATCTCAAAATTTCTAATTTTATGCATCTTGCTCCTTTTTTTCACAAATAATAAAAATTATATAACTTTTAATAAAATTGCATTCAAGTATTTAACTTTTTCAAATATCAAAAATCAAGCTTGGAATTGTAAATTAAAAAAATATAAAATTCATATTATTAAAGTGTGCAACGGAAAATATCTTTAATACCCAATTTGAAATTCTGTAAAGTGCTACAACTAAAGTGGCAAAGCTGTAGAGGATGTGAATATGACTTATGAGTATGATGTAAATGTAGTTGTGCAAATATATCATTGATTAATGATAACTTTATGTGATTTTTCTATGACTATGAATGCATAACAAAAAAAAAAGAAAAAAAAGAAGGACAAGCATATCTTATTTATCCTTTTTTATCATAATATTGTTCTTTTTTTCTCTGTTATTATTATCTGTGTTATGTGATAAAGCTAGCTAAATGTCTTATTTATTTTTAGGGATCTCAAGTTGGGCATTAAAGGGGGTGTTTGATTTACTTTCTTGGGAAATGTCCCCATTTAGAATTTTGCACGGGTTTTTTAGCACTTATATAACTTAAAACTATAATGAATAAAAGGGCAAAAGTAATATTTTTAGTTTTTATTTTTCATGACAAAATTATCAACTTATACATTTTTCTTTCCACATTTTTTTAATAGATGGAAAACTTTTTCTATATAAGATCCACTTAACAACTTTCCTTCTATTAATTTTCTATCAAATATAATAAAGTTAATAACCCAACAAAATCTCAACAAAAATTAATTACAAAATTTAGTGTAACTTTACAAATAGTACTTTAATCAATCACTTCCTCAAGAAAGAAAGTTGGCCTTTAACCAAGAACACCTAAACATGTGTTATTACATTTACACACAATTTTAATTATTTATTTCTCTATTTTTATTGATTGAGATTTATTCATATTTATTAACAACAATTATCTTTGTTTATTTAAAAAGTTATGATAAATCTCAACTATTGAAAATAAAACGATAAATGTTAAAATTATATATATAATGTTTAAAACTTATGTGTAAATAGATTATTCTTCATACATATATATATGTTAAATGTTAACTTTGGTCCCTCAACTTTATATAGTTGCACTTTTTTGGTCCCTAAACTATTTTTTGTGCTTTTTTGATACTTTAACTCTAAAAACTGCATAATTTTGGTCCTTCCGTTAGTTTGGACTGTTAACACTGTCTATGTAGCATTTTTTATATTTTTTTTATGACATGGAAAAGATAACTTAAAAAGATGCTGATATGAACAAAACATTATGTTAGGTGGCATTTTTTTTATTTGTTTCAATGACATGAATAAATGATGCTTCCTTATTACTTCTATTCGGAAAATTAAGGGATCCACTTGCCTAAATTAATTATTTATTAAATTAAAAAGTTTAAAATGACAATTTTACCCTTTACTCCATCTTCTACCTTTGGTCTCCTCTTAGTTTTTGGCTTACCTTTCTCCATTCTCCACTACTCTCTCTTTCTTCCTCCTTCTTCTTCGCCTCTCTCTCCCACTCTTTATTCCTTCCACATCATAAAACCCAACGATTTGGGTTTGTTTGAACCTAGATTGCTAGGGACCCAGTTCTGGGTTCTGCACCCAACAATCTGGGTTTATTTGAACCTAGATCTGAGTTCCGCAAAACCCAACGATCTAGGTTCATTTGAACCCAATTCTGGGTTTCATAGAACCCATCAACATGTGTTCAAGGATCCCAAATTTCTAGGTTTTCAAACCCATGTTTATAGATTTTTTTTTTTTTTTATGGATTTTTGTTTCAAATATTGTGGTTGTCAAATGGCAATTTAGTATTATGAATGCTGCAAAATTTTGTTTTTATGTTTTGGTTTGGCTATTTCTCTTGTGAGTATGTGATCATTAAGCTAGATTGAAGTAATATGAATTTTCAAGGTTTTGTTGCAGGGTTAATCATTGGTGTCGAAAAAGAACTTTCCAAGAGAGAAATTTTTTAAATCTTGGTTTTGGTTTTGTTTGTTAGATTTCATTTTTATTTTGTGCAATCAAAAAGATTGTGTTGGTTTCGTAAAAGTTTAATTATAATTAATAATTGGTTAAATACCCTTTTTGGTCCCTCTACTATAGGAAAAAGCCCCTTTTTGATTCCTGTACCGAAAAAATCTCCTTTTTAGTCCTTAAATTTTAAAATCCGACCCCTTTTTAGTCCTTCCGTTAATTTTTGCTCATGTGACACGTTAACTTAACTGAAATAGTTGACGTGGATATGCCAATGTGTAAAAAATGCTTACCTGGACTTCATGACACCCTCCACCTCACCCTTAACGTCACTCTCTTCGTGTGGAAAAGAAAAAAACCATAATCAATGGGACCCACATCCTAAAATACATGGTAAAAAAGGGAACCCAAGCTTGAGTTCGTTGCGTTCATCGCGAACCCAGAAGCTGGTTTCGTCGCACCTGGTTCCAACATTAATATATGAGTATTTTTTAACCTTTATGATTAAAAAGCTCAATTTGAAAAAAAAAAAAAAACACAAAAACCATAAACAAATTTACAATTTTATGGAAGTGGAAGTACAATTAATTTATGGATGAGTGCCACTTAGTTTTCTCAGTGCATGAAAGCATAAAAAGTAGTGGAAATACAAACCATGAGAGCAGAGGAAACCAGAAGGACCGGAGCTCCGACGACATGAATTGCTGGCTTGCTCCCACACGACAGCATCCCCAACCGGATCTTGATGACGTGCACCATCGAGAGAACTAAGAAACTGCACCCCATCACCGACCCCATGGTGGATCCCATCATCCCGAGCCTTAACACCTTTTGGTTAATGGTGGCTCGGAACACTTTATCCACATCTTTGCTGTTGAGCAAATTGATGGCGGCGAGCTTTAGGCCTTGGGCGACAAGCGAGGAGAAAAGGAAGAAGCTGAAAGAGACGACTTCAAAGACCAGAAGCTTCTTCACCATGTTGATACCGGCGTCACAGGCGAAGGGGTTCCTGAGGCTGTGTTGCCTAGGTGTAGTCAAGGACAAACCCATGAGACAGTGATCGTAAATAGCAAGTTCACGTTCACCAGCTTGTCTAGCGCCATCACGTGGACACTGGTGGTGGAGGAATTAGAAGACGGTAACGATCTTCTGGGGGTTGTTGGCATAGTACACTTTTGGGGACTGTTTAGATCTAAGAAAAAAAAAATCACAAAAAGAATCCAACTTTACCAATCAATAACTCATAATCTTCAAAACCCATAAAAAATTTCTAAAAACATTTAATAATTTACTCATCCATGATCGAATCTCAGAACAAAAACCAATGCTTGATTATGTTTTGGAAATAACAAAAGAAACAGAGCAAAAAAACAGAATCGAATGAAATTAGCTTCAACGTTACAATTATTGCTTATGGGTGCAATATACCTTGCTTTTATACTTGGGTTTGGCATTTTTGGAGGGTTTTAAGAACTTGAGAAAGATGGATTTGAAGTTCTTTCTTTTGGCCTTGGAGAGATTTCTAGTTTGAACACAAGAAACAGGTGAGGGTTTGTTTCAGCTTTAAGCTTAAAATCAAAATGAAATTCTTTGGGAAAGATGAATGTCTTAAATGTAACCAAAATGGGGACAGGACAATATATGTAATAAACTAACAATAACCCAGGTGCCTGGGTTTGTTGGGTTTGTCATGAACCCAGGAGCTCGCTTCGTCACACCTGGCTCCAGCCATCCATTTATTATTAATATATGAGTATTAATATATGACGAACCCCACGTCTGGGTTTGCGACGAACCCAACGAACACAGGCAACTAGGTTCGCCTTTCTAGATTTGATTTTCAAAAGGCAAAGGTAAAAAAAAAAAAAAAAGAGCAAAGGCTTGGAGGAAGGAAAGGTTAAGACAGATGCAGGAAGAAGATGGGGTAAATTAGTAATTAAAGTCAAATACTCTTAATCACAAAATAACCTTTAAAATATAGCCATGTCATCAATTTTGTTAGATAGACTTTCCACGTAATTGAAGTAAAGGAAAAAAATAAGTTTTTCCGTTAATTAACTTGCCACGTCAACCAAAAATTAACGGAGGGACTAAAAAGGGGTCGGATTTTAAAATTTAAGGACTAAAAAAGGGATTTTTTCTGTACAGAGATCAAAAAAGGGCTTTTTCCTATAGTAGAGGGACCAAAAAGGGTATTTAACCTTAATAATTTTAAGGACCATGATTGGTTTACATTCCACCGTACCACACTCCCGTTACACACTCTTTTTTTCGTTAATTTCTGTTAGTTCCTACACTCCATTAATTACCATTACACTCCACCGTACCACACTCCCGTTACACACTCTTTTTTTTTTTCATTGTGCCAAACCTGGCTTCTTCTTGAAGAACCCAGATCGAGTTCTCTAGGAGAACCCAGATCGGGTTCTCCGTTCTCCAAGAGAACCCAGATCGAGTTCTCTAGGGGAACCCAGGTCTAGGTTCCCAGATCGGAGAACCTAGATTAAGTTCTCTAGGAACCCAGGTCGAGATCTCTAGAAAAATTTAAAAACAAAAGGAAAAAAAAAAAAAAAGGAAGAAGGTGGGAACCTGGAGAGGGTTGGCAATTGTCTTGCAGATGATTAGGATAAGAATGGAGATAAGGAGGAAGATTGATTTGGTGAGGACGGAAAGGGTTGGGTGAGCCGAGAGATGGCTGAAGAGGTGGTAACGGAGTTAAGTGTAATTAACGGGAAAATAACAGAAATTGAAGGGTGTAACGAAGTGTGGTGCGGTAGAGTGTGCATGTATCATTATCTTAATTTTAATTATATAAATTAATGGGTGTTTTTTTTAATATTGCTGTATAAGTCTTAATATCACCACATAAGCTTTTTTTTTTTTTTCAATTGGATTATTCATGTCATCATTTTTTCTAGTTGGATTATCTATGTCATCAAAAAAATTAAAAAAAAAATGCCATGTGGACGGAGTTAACGGTCCAAACTAACAGAATGACCAAAACTGTGCAATTCTTAGAGTTGATGGATAAAAAGTTCAAAAAATAGTTTACGACTAAAAAAATGCAACTCTATAAAGTTAAGGGACTAAAATTAGCATTTAACCATATAATATGAAGTATTGACTAACGAGTCCCTTAGCCTACAGTGGATCTTCAATTCCCCTCAGCCGGACCAGACACCGGACATGGAATCCAACAGGTTGAAAACTGCAAAAGATTCCACCATGAGAAAGCGGACCCGCAATGCAGTGGCCAATCAAATTATGTCACCAATTACCATGATATGTTGGTCTTTCTCTAGACATGGACTTGGACACCTGAGCCTCATTTCATATTATCTAAGGTCACAATCCAACTTTTCATCAGCTTCTTTCCTCCGGTGGATTTCCTGCTGTGAAAGCTAATACTGAAATTTGCCGGAGCATAGCAGACTAAAGGTGTTGGATGTCGGCCTTTGGGTTGGTTTGGTTCTGTTTGCTTCGGTTCAGAGTTCTGATTATTTGATCGTTTAACTGATATCTGGTGTCAAAATCGTCCCTTAACATTTGAAATGGAAATACTTAATGAAGGAACCATTTTGGTACCAAATTAAATAGTGGAAGAACTAAAAAGGTATTAAAAAAATTAAGAGATAAATTTGGTATAAAAGTTGAAAGTTAAGGAACTGAAAAGGCACTACTTAATTATATATAGGTTGACGGATCTTTTGTAGTCAATACATGATATATCAAATAAAATTATTGTTTGCTTTTTAAAAAAAAA